ATTTACACGCCGATTGCCAACATAACACAGACATTTGATGTTACGGTAACACTTTACTTGAAGGGGTGTGCATAAGACTGACATGACACCTTCATAATCATGACATGACACATGAGTATGAAGGAGGTTTTATGCATGTTTATGACAACTGTCATTAAGTGTCATTCGCTCAATTATGACATTTTGAATGCAAATATGACATTGTTTTAGATGTCTTTGTTATGACACCTTGACATAAACCAATACATCATAACCTGTCAGTGTCTTGGTCATGACAATTTGACATTAACAAGACAACATAAATTGTCATAAATATGTCATAAACATGACATAGCAGATTAATTATCAAACTTAAGAAAGCACTGAGCTTTATGGGTTAACATTACATTAAACTGTCATGTGGCTGGTTTTGACATTGGCTGTCATGAGGCCATTATAACTGTGTCATGAATATTTTTCTTGACCTCAACTACAGTGGTACACATTGAATTTGTCATTAAAATGTTAAAAAGGCCTAATGATAAAGCGCCATTATATACTCTAACTAATTAGCAATTAGCATGAGGAAAACCAATCAGGAACTCCCACGACCTGCATCAGCAGACTCAGGGTCGTCACAATAGCATTAGAAATCCAATGTTTTCTAATAATATTATCAAGGGACAGCATGTATATTAAAAATAGAAGAGGGCCTAAAACAGAGCCTTGTGGCACTCCGTAATTTACCGACGTTAACTTGGATAATTCCCAGAGTAAATAAATTAAATGGTAACTGTCAGATAGGTAGGCCTACTATATAAACCACCTTAATGCCTGAATCTAAATCTAAATCCAATGATTCCCATTAAGGATTCAAAAGTTTGTCTGTAAGCTTTGAATGCGAGCGTATCCACTGAAGCCGTAACCAGACCCACTGCACACCCGGATCTGCTCTACACTTCTGCATTGTGTCGTGTAGTTGAACACATGCAGAGGAACTGTTAGTGTGTGAAGGCCTCCATCTGATTGTGCTGTTTTATGGGGTGCTTATATGCAGTTTTCCCAGCATGCTCCATGGTGCCAGCGAGAGGTGGGAGGAACTCAACAAGTAGGTCAGAGCGACATGAATAGCAGATTACATCAGAGCCACACACTGAGCTGCTCTTGCCAGGCCACTGGACATTTGCTAACCTTTTTAACTAGTTTTGTGTCTTTGTGTGCATTGATTGTGGGACACTCGGTTGGGTTTTACCCCTCATGCATGGGGAGTTTCTGGCATTTCTAGACCGGCACATCAATAATACTCAAATATGAGTCAGTAGAGCATCAGAATGACCCATAATCCTCTCTAAACTTTGCATAGGGAATGTTTAGAATATCATACTCACTATTTCTGCGTAGAAATGTGAACGTAGAAAACCCACTACATGTGCAGCGAACTGCGCGAACCCCACAATGCATTGCACTCGACTTGACCTACAATGTTTTTTTCACAATATTGAATAGGGAATGTAAAGTCATTATTTATGCGAGATGATAAATGAGCGGCACATTTGCATGCTAAGTGTTATGGTTATGAGTCAACAATGACAACTTATTCCCTTTATTATTAATATTATTTAAAAAAGTCTGTATTAAACAGTGTGTTCTGCCTAATATTCATTATGTAATAATCTAGTATTATTCCATGTTTCCATCCAAAGTTGTCAATTAAACTTGCGTGGAAAATTGTAATATTAAATAAATCCATCCCATGTTTCCACCATTTCCATCCCATGTTTTCATCTTTTATGTGGATTTTATGCGCATCTTGGCATTTCCATCATCTTTTTTAATTTCAATAAGCTGGGGATAGTTCAGCCAAAATATTTAAATTATGGCATAATTTATTCACCCTCGTTATTCCAGACCTGAATGCATTTCTTCTGCCGAACACAAAACATATTTTGAAGAATGTGGGGACACGTGTGTTTTAGTTATGTGTTTTATTTAACTACTATCTACTAACAGTTTAATGAATAATTTGATACAACGCAATTATTGTGTATGTTTTCACAATGTACTTAAATGTGAAAAAAAACCTTTTTGTACTGTAAGTGTACATATTGACTATAATTACACTGTTGTAACCCATTAACCCACACTTAAACCTATCCATACCAGCAGTCCTAACCGTACCCGTATTCACATCAAAACTGTTTTGCAATATGTATTTCAAATGTAAGCATTGTACCAAATAAGACTTTTTTTTATACATAAGTGCATAGTAGGGCTGTGCGATATTGAAGAAAAATGTGATATGCGATAACTCATTAAATAATGCGATATTTGATATGCCATAATGCTTAAAGTGTGTGAAATAAACGTAATTATCTTTAAAATATATTTAAAATGATATAACCTAGGCTAAATACGTGTTTTACTGCGTAAGAAGTGTTATTAACATCAGTGTAAAGCACGGGGTTCAGGGCTTCAGCTTATCCTACATTAGGGTTATTTAACAACAGAAACTGAATAATCAAATGTAAAAATAAAACAATGCTTAGTTTTCACTGTAAGAAGTAAATATATACTGCTTCTTATTAAAGCGAGAAAAGTTATTCAGCCGAGAGCAGCGAGTGATTTTCTCTTTGTCTTTTGTTCATGATCAGTTATTGCAAGCCGTTGCGATATGCATATCGCGATTTATACATTTGCGATATTTCGATAATTTTGATATATTGTGCAGCCCTAATGCATAGTAGTTAAAGAATCATAATATAAAGTAGGACCAATGTTGGTAACTAAACAATTTTGGTCACCATTGATTTCTTTGTATGGGAAAAAAAAAAGTCATACAGTTTGGAAATACATAAATGGGAGAAAATGACAGAATTTTAATTTTTGGGAGATCTAACCCTTTAAAGGTCACAGCATTACACAAACACTAGTCCTGCAATCATACAGTACTAGTGCAAAATGCCCGTGTAAAATAATTTTTTTGTGTGTGTTTTTAGCAATTGCATAGCTATTGTGCATAGAAAGCATACTGATACTGACATAATGATGCATTGGAGGATATATTTAGAGTGGATACAGATACATGCCCGTGAAAGATAGCGGTAATGTTAAGCATGACAGTATCATATTTACATGGCCGTGAAAGATAGCGAAAATGTTAAGCGCACCAGAATTAAATGATATATTAAGAAGTAAAAACAGCTATGCTGTTGACTTCTTAATATCTATTTATAGATAGATAGATCTTAAGAAGTAAACAGCGTAGGTTTAAAGAAATATATTAAACTTTTATGCAGTTAATCTGTTTTGCAGTTCCTGCCTCTGTTGTTTTCGGTTGCAAATTGCTGTTCACAGGCTTGCAGTGCTTTTGGCCGCATTTGTGCGCAAAAACCGTGCCAAAAGTATAAGCGCGGAAAAATGAAAGTTTGAAGAATACAGATCCTATTTATTTTGCGGGCGATTTACACCTTTACAAATCTTCTCTTGCACATGCAAATTTAATTTACGCTTGCAATCTTATGTACGCTTTTACAAATCTTACCCTGTGCATGCGATTCTTGATGTCATCATTTTACCTTCATAGATTTGCTGTCACACGATCGGTAAGAGGATTACTATACTCGTTAAGCTCGTTAAAGCCTGCTATATACTGTTGAATAGGCAGGGCAATACCATATATACCAGGGAAATACCATAGCATATTAAACATCACATAGTTAACATATACATGCTAACTTCAGCGCGCATGACACATAACGTTAATAGCATTTACTACAAATGATGGCCGTGAAAGAGACTGCGAACGCATTAAATATAATATTAAGAAGTAAACAGCGTAGCTGACTTGCAGATTCAGTTAACAAATGAATAAGCGCAACGATTCAGGGAGCAAATCTGCTTTCTTCGTCCCTCTGTCTCTGGTCCTGCGCTGTGCTCACTCAGTGTGCGGTGTGAGAGGGGGAGTGGCCAGCGGCTAGAGCGGCAAAAACCAATGTGTGCTTCTTTTAGCGATATCTTTTGCATTTCTAATCCAAACAACGTCAAACTCGGCACTGCACTTACTCGTGCCCGTAGCAAGACACCTGTCAAGTTTGAGATCCATCGGACTAACGGTTCGAGAGATATGCGATTAACAGACAGACAGACGTTCCTGTAATTTATAGATAGATATAACACAACTTGTTAGTTTTGGTTCATTGCCACTGTCACCTTTGTCGCTTTTGTTTTTTTTGACCAAAATTGTTTAGTTACCAACATTGGTCCTACTTTATATTATGATTCTTTAACTACTATGCATTAGGGCTGCACAATATATAGAAATATCGCAAATGTATAAATCGCGATATGCATATCGCAACGGCTTGCAATAACTGATCATGAACAAAAGACAAAGAGAAAATCACTCGCTGCTCTCGGCTGAATAACTTTTCTCGCTTTAATAAGAATCTGTATATATTTAATTCATACAGTAAAAAACTAAGTGTGTTATTTTTATGTTTGATTATTCAGTTTCTGTTGTTAAATAACCCTAATGTAGGATAACCTGAACCCTGTGCTTTACACTGATGTTAATAACACTTCTTACGCGACAGTAAAACACTGATGTTCACTTCCAGAAGTTGTAGGGATGTTTTCTTGCTGGCTTAGTTGGGGACATTTAATATTCAGCAATATTATTGATCTCCTGCACTGACACCATTATATGAGAACTGAACTGAGCTGGACAATGACATCACTGTTTGAGAGCGGCTAGATATATAAATGAACTAAATTAATAACTTTTTTACAACAGAAATGAACCATCACTGATTGAACTTACACTATTTTCTTCTAGAAACAAACTTTGTTTAATTATTTTCCTGTTATCTCTGTAAAGCTGCTTTGAAACACTCAGTACTGTAAAAAGCGCTGTATAAATGAAGCTGACTTGACTTGACGACTATATTGCACCGTGTATTGATGATTGTGCGTCGCTAATCCAAACTGCAATAGCAATTAACTTGTTTCTTGCTCTGTTTCAGCCATTCTTCAACCTGACGAAGCTGAGAAAGCTCGGCCTGAGTGACAATGAGATCCAGCGGCTGCCGGGGGACATAGCGAACCTCAACCTGCTCGTGGAGCTCGACATCTCCCGCAACGGTAAACGCTCTCTGCCTTATCAGCCCACTGTTTAATTACTGTCCGTGTCTGAGAGACTTTGGCCTCGTGTGTGTCTTGCCCTTCCCACACGCTTCCAGCATACGCCCAACATATTTCAGCTGCTGGTTTTCTGTGCTCAGCAATTACACACATTTCAGCGCCGGTCATAGTAATTCAGCGCATCCACGCCCGAGATTTAGTTTTCGTTTCGGCTATTTTTACTGTATTTGTTCAAGCGCCCTTTTTAAAACTAGCCTGGACTTGTGGTGTCTCGTGGTTTTAAATGCATTTGAAGGGATATTTCATAAAAAGCTTATAATTCTGCCATCATTTACTCTCCTTCATGCCTCTCTAAACCTGTATGACTTACTTTCTTATATGAACACCAAAGAGGATATTTCAAAAAATGTATTGTTGTTTTTATGGTTCATACAATGAAAGTCGATGGGGTCCAAATGTTGTTTAAAATATACAGTCAAACCAAAATGTATTCAGACACCTTCAACATTTCTCACATTATCTCAGTTTAATCGCTATAGTTTTAGAAAATGGTAATACAATATGAGCAGAACTGAATCAGATCAGTGGATATTTGACTGGTTTTGTCCGTCCTTCTGTTAGACTCTCACACATGAATTATGTTGAATATCTGTCAGCTGTTAAATTTAACTACACAATTAGATAATACCAGTTTAGCTCAACCAATGACCAAGCAATGCTTCATGTTGTTCAGTCTGTGTGTAAAAAGAGCATTAGCAATTACAGAAAACACACTTAAGAAAACATGATCAGCTCAAAGTGGAGGAATCATTTTTGCTCCCAAATGTTTATAAATGTCACTGGTAGTCACTGTATGAAGAATATCTGGGTATAAAATGTCACAGTTTACTTTATTTTGCTCTCCTCACTTATATAAAAATGAACTATATTGTCCTGCACCCACTAGTAAAAAAAATATAAAACCTTATATCTGGTGTCAATAATTTTTGGTTTGACTGTATTATAAAATATAATATAAAAAAAATTTCATTTATATTATATATTTGGAATAACATGAGCGTGAATAAATGACGACAGAATTTTTTGATAATTTTTGGGTGAACTGTCCCTTTAAGAACAGTTTATGCTCTTAACTGGGAAGTGGCTGGCTTATAAATTGACATCATATTCTAGTTGAACTCTGATCTCTCTTAGTTACAGCACCTTTTTATGGCAGGCACATAAATTATTGAAATATTGGCTGTTTTCCAAACCCTTGTGAGCTACCTTGCTGTCCACTGCACACACAGCAACCAATAGAGCGCACCAGTTAAAATCCCATTAGTTTCTCTATAGGCGTTTGACTTTGAATAAAACGTATAAAGACAGACCTCCTGCGAGGTTGTCCATCGATGGGATATGCTTATGTTGAAGCTGTCAGACCACATTAGTTCAACTAATGTTTAATTTAATCATGTTCAGTAGAGTAATTCCTGATGAAAACTCAGATTACAACATTTTACAAGAAAATATCTGTAGCGCTTTGATCTTTAATAACGCCTGATCTTTCCACGTTTCTCTTTCTTTTAACAAAATTAATGCTTAAAAATGGGTGGTCACACACCGGTCTGAAGCGGTTACTGTAATCACCAAACAGGCAAAAGTTCAATTCAAGAATGAAAAGTCGATGAGTTTTGAAGTTCGGTGTTTGAAAAAACAGAGCAAACTGAAAGAGAAAGGGTGATCTAGAGTCGTATAGCTCTCTATATTAAACCTACAGACTTAATTCAAGCTACAGAAATACACAAGTTATGCTGAAAAATACACAATGTAACGTACTTGCTCTAGCCTTTGTTTTAAATGTTTTTTTCCGTTGTTGTCATTGTTCGATCAGGATGTGACGGTTGGCCGGTTTGGTTTTGGTCCCGCCCCTCCTCCACTGTGATTGGACGGCTGGGTAAACCGTGACAGTGATGAGCGTGAAATGCTGCTGGTATTTTAAATATGTGGCGCTCCCATTGAAAACAATTGAAATAATACGCTGGCAGGAAATGTTTTTTAGTGGACTGAAGCACTGTGGATGACAGAGTCAGTTTCCCAATGCTCTTTAATGTTGTTTATGTGTCTATGTGGTGTTTTTAATACGCTTTAAGACACACCATGTGTAAGTTCATAAGTCGACAGCATTGCTGAGTATTTCCTCCTTAAAACTGCAGTGAACCAAAGACAGTCTCAAAAACACGGTTTGAAATCGCTGGTGTTTCTGACGTCACAAACGACCTTGTAACCAATCAGATCAACGTGTGATCGTCAACCAGTGGATCTCTGAGCTGAGTGAGTGAGTGGAGGCGGGGCTCATTTGCATATTCATAGAACCGCGCATACTAAATGAGGCGAGGGTGTCGAGTTACATTCAAGATATTTTAAGGCATGAAGAATTTTTTTCTTAAGGAAAAAATGTTGAAATATGTAATTTTAATGATCAAAGATTAGTTTTAAAAGATAAAATTATTGACTACAGGGGGACTTTAAATATGTGTATGTATAGATCGCAATAAACATAAATACGCTATATATATATTTAATAGGGTTGCCCCCTGATCCTCGATTTAACGTTACTCTACAAGATGTGGCTTTGTCGATTAAATTGAGTTAGATAAAAAAAAAAATCCACAAGGATGGTTGAAGTCATGCAGTGACAGATCGCCAACAATGCTCTACGAACTACACAAATGTATAATGTTAAGCTAGATGGGGAAATGATATCTCTGCCTTCATGTTGGAGGTGTACCAATGATGCCTTAAAACACTGCCTACATGGGCAGCTCTCGAGGTCTCGGTGCAAAGCTTTCGTTTTAAATATTGCACGGTTTTTATTGTTGTAAGTGGATTAAATCTGTTCCCTCTTTTTCCTCACAGACATTACGGAACTCCCTGAAAGCATTTCATATTGTAAAACCCTCCAAGTAGCAGATTTTAGTGGAAATCCTTTGACAAGGTAATTGATGTGCATTTCATATTCTGATTCTGCATAACTATGGACATATAATTTTAAAAAAGCCTAATATATGGTGTTTTTTTATGCATAAAATATTATAAAATATATTATTTCTGCATTGGGCCTGGGTGCTTCTTTAAATGAGTCTTAAAGGGGAACTTGGCAACTCTAGCCATTTCTTCGGTGATTTTCACTTTGGTTGTCGCATGTTTTCTCGACTAGCGCCCCCTACAGCTGTGGGCCGTATATTTCACAACACTGTCGTAAAAAAAAACTCACTTGCGTTGCGGCGCCCTCCTCCCGCTTTCTACCGCTGCTCATGTGCATTTGTTATTATCAGAGCCAGCCAACTTTATCGTGTGGAGCTACGTCTACCGAGGTGGGTAATACCAGAGCCCGTCTACGGAGAGCCTGGCCACTCCCTATTAAGTCCTATTGTACCGAATTGTGGTTGTAGTTCCACCAGAGTTCCACTGGGGGCGATCGCCCATGAGTGCAGAATGAATGGGAGTCTATGGAGCTAGACGGCTAAATGTGTCTCTTTCACCCGATTGCCGTTGAGAAATCTCAGATTTGATTGTAGGTTTTGCAAGTTCAACATGGGTTACAGGTCGAAAGTTGAATGAACGAGTACTCATGTCCTTTCCATTTCTTACAGGTTGAGTTGTTCTTGCCTATAACACGCTAGCATTCTGCTAATGAACGCTGGTTGGTCAGTGAAGGACTGATTACGACCAGAGACACCGCTTGATGGCATCGTGGCATCCGGACCAGAATGTTAAGAACTTTAGTTTTACAAAAACTCTTCTAGCACGTGTGATTACCCGTGTCCGCTGTCTCGAGAGAAAGGAAAGTGCAGAGCGCGAACGCACCAGTGACTGAAGGATTGCCATAAAGCAGTATCTCTGGTCGTACGATGTGTATGACGTCATTGACATTTTAAAAGACTTTTTAAAGCAAATAAGTGACTCTAAAAAATCAAACACCCAACAATGTGTAATTTCTTTGCATCTCGTCTCGAATACAACATTCAAATTACTAGACAAAAAATTATATCCTGAGAAAAGTGTATTTTGAGGGGTATATCTTTATAGACCTCCATTCATTCTGCACTCGTCCTGTGAGCGCCCCCATGTGGAGCCGGAGTGGAACTGCAGCCAGTTCAGGAGCCGGAAGTTCACTGAGAGTGGGAGTTCTCCCCATATTAGACTTTCTCTGGTAATAACCGGTATTGAGGGGGGTGTGTGTGTGTTTAAGTCAAATTGCCGTAAATCAGTTTGTGTTTCTCGCTCGTTCTCGCTTCTCACAAGACTTCCTATTTCCAACTTACCAGGACGTTATGGTGCGTTATATTATTGTCAACGAACCGACTCGGCCCTTGGATATGACGTCACGTCCACAGTCTGAGTACCAGGCGCTTATCAAAACGCAGCCATTTAAACTTCTAAAATTTTCACTTTATTTCATGTTTTAGTTTATCTTCTGTTAGCAACGTTAGTAACACCCGTTTGAAACGAGGCTTCATTCAATATTGCACTCACAACAAGACCGATTCCCATACCCACAGGCAGTGATACGGACGCAGTAAGGTATTGCAGTAATACGAGTGATTAAAATCGTCATTTAAACAACCAAAGCGGTCCAAAAACAATGAAAACAATTCATACTTACAAGTCACACAGGGCGCAGCCATCTTGGATTCCGTTAGTCCCCATGTTGCAAGGATGGTTTTCCGCCTGGGAACGCTCGGCTCGGGGAAAGCCAACATTTTCACCAGAACAGGTTATTTAACCATCCAAATGATTTCTAAACGGTTTTATTAAGATGAAATAGTTGCCTAGTTCCCCTTTAATTGCGTGTGTAATTCTCCACACAAATACGGTGTATTGACGATATCCTAATAGCTGTGCTTGACAGACCATGCGTTATGCATTAGCACTGGACACACTTTGGCCCAGTTTGCCAATTTGTTCCCCATTTTGCTGGATTATACAATGCTTGACTCCTGTTGTATTCTCTGGTTAATTTTACACCATATGGTTAATTTTACACCATATGGCTTAGTTTACTGGCAGACCTTTCTTGTTAGTAGTTGAGTGATCATGTCTGTCCACCAGAGCGGATTCACTTTATCAGTCATTCCCGCTGTGAACTGTGAGCTTTATGTTTGTTTGTTTTTTGTTTCAGGTTGCCAGAAAGTTTTTGGGAATTACAGAATTTAACATGCCTTTCCATCAATGACATTTCTTTACAAGCACTTCCAGACAACATTGGAAAGTAAGTGTTTTTTCTCCTCTTTCAGCTGCAATCCAGTTTTTCATGCACTCTCATTTGTTTGCAATATATAGAGGGATGTTTTCTCTTATGATATCAGCAGGGTTTGATTTATATGGCCTCACTTCATTTACTGTTATCCACTCTAGCCGTGACGTCTTTCTTCCCTGAATTGCTTCTGTAGGACACTTACTGTATCAGTATCTGAAAAGCTCTGAATAGCTACATTAGTAATCATCCCATGATGATCTAAAACGATGACTCTGATCTCAGACAGTTGACCCACATTTCCAAATCAGTTTCGTTAAAGGCTTAAGGTTATGAATAAGGCGATGTGTTCCAAAACAATGACAAAATTCGCATTTAGGAGATATAAGCATTCAAAACTTAGTCTCTCACTTCTGCTAAAATGGATCAGGGATTTTTATGACATCATCGCGGACTTCAGCTTCTCATCACATCTTCTGTCCAATCAAATGCTCTCTAGGATCTGAAGCTCCGCCCCCTGTGCTATAAACGCCAGCGTTGACAGACACACAGAGCAACATGTGTTGGAGTGTGTGTTCGGTTGCTCAAACGCTCGTGTTTTATTCTGTTTTCCAACTGTTCGTTGGTTAAGAATGAAATGGCTAGAATTTATTCACATTTCTACTTTTGAATTAGGGATGGCGAAACCTAAAAATTTTCTTGACCGACCACCGAGCCTCATTAACCGGTTAACCGATTAGTTTAAAATATGCCATGCTATTTGAAATAACAGCCATTTCGAGCCGCGCCTGCAATTTCGCAACTTTGTCGCATCTCTCTGCCTCTCGCTCACACACACACACACACACACACACACACACACACACACACACACACACACACACACACACACACACACACACACTGCCCCAGCGCCGCCCTTCCACTCACGTCACTTTTTTTAAATTCCCCTACAGCGCGAAACAGGAGTCCCGCAAACGCGGCGCCGAGGAGCTTACGTAATCGGAGGACAAATGGCTCCTTAGTTTCGAAATGGTTTGGGTACAAGGTGATCGCATTGAAAATAAAGGCGTTAGTCTAGCGTTAGAGAAGCTCATTTGAAATATTGGCGCGGCTCATTTGAGAAAATGACAGCTCCGAAGAGACGCCGATTTAGTTTGAGGTAACGTTAGTGCTAACAATAATAAAGAAAGATGATGATCATCATCACCTTATCAGTTACCACTGAAATGTAGATGTAATGTATTTCCAAATCTAATGCGGGTGTCGCGTTTTCAGGTGATACATCATAGATGTGCTACCGCTGTATTTAAGCACTGTATTACACAAGTTGCAACTTACATCTGTGTCATTCTTTTTGGTGAAATGGTCCCACACACTACTTTACTTTGCACGCTTCATCCTGTCGTCTGCCCTGGCTCTAACCTCGAGTGTTTTAGACTGAAGCCTTTACTTTTCGCAAACCTTGTGACCGCGCGAACCCAAACGCTGTGACCTCGCACCAAATGTTTTTATTGGTTTAATAAGTACAAACAGGCGAGTTATGAAAAATTTAGTGTGAGGGATTTGTTCACTTCACACAAAAATACCTTGGAATGAGATGGCTAACTGTAGTAGGGTTTAGTCCACGGTCTATAATAGCCTAATTTAGAGATCACTTTTTTTTTAACCGACTACCGACAACTTTGATCGGTTAACGTGGATACGGTCAACCATCGGTCAAACGGTCATCGGTTAGCATCCCTATTTTGAATCCAACGTATCATCAGCGCTTTGAATCACTTCATGTAGCGTGTGATAGAGCTGTTTGTGAATATAAAAGGTCGCAAAGTCTCAAAGATCAAGATCTCGAAGTTTTCATCTCCCAAAAGAAAGAAGCGATTTTGAACGGCCTGAAACGAGTCGTCAGTGATTCCAGTCTCACTTCCCGCTGATCCTGCGTAGGTTTGTAACAAATTTTCATAATGCCAACCTGTGGTCTTCATTGGCTGAACATGAACATCGTTACTGTTCGTATTACTGTGCATCAAGTGTTTAGGAAGAGCCAAAATTCAGATATGATAATGAGTGTTTGATTTCCAACATGCACTGTAAGCTATCGACCAATCACAACAGACTGGGCCATCTGACCAAACAGAGCAGA